TAATATTTGAGTGCTATCCCGAAACCAATGATGTGAGTTCGAATCTCTCATGAAGTTTGGTTATGTGTTATGCATTTTCCTCCTTCTTGCTGGAGAAATGCCACAAGAAGTTCCCAACGATGAACTGGCTAACTGATGGATGGACTCGACCGTTCTTGACGAATGGTTTGTCGCCCTTGACAGCATAGTCTTGCCTGAAACAAAGGATAAAGATTAGACTCCAGAAATGTCGGGTGTGTGTCGTCGGAGAGTCTAGTGGGTGTAATATCAGTCTCTGGCGCATACTTCGCAACATTCTTGGGATAAGCAGACTAAACTACTTTAGGCTTTTTTTTATTATGCTTTATCAGATTACTGCAAAGCATACTGGGGTTATCTGCCTAAAGTAAGATATACCTTCGTAGAGGGCTTTCTAATGTCTTGAGTCTTATTTACAATAAACTTAAGGAAAACCAAAAAACTCTCAAGCAGCCAGCCCTTTCTCCGGAATTTATAACCGGAACAAATTACCAGTGCTCAGTGATCTAACTGCTAAGCCATCGGTGGGCGAATTGGCTAAGAGAAAGTCTAGCTATTAGTGAGAAAATGCTGCTGCCTCACTGCAGTCATCCTGTTTCTAACTTCAGTTGAGATCTTTCAAGTTTATAATGACGCGTTCAAACCTTTAGTCTGATATTTTCTTTCATGAATTTCTGGGATTTTCGGATTCCTCTGCTTCCTTTTGGATAATTTTCACTATATTCAAGTAACCAATTCTACGATTCACCGTATACGAAGTGTTAAACGAAAAGCTTTGAAGTTTATTTAATGCTATTTTTTATATAATTCTTTTGAAACTGTGTTTCAGGCTATAGCTAGGTCGTAATACCCTCCAGATATTAAAAAATGAATGAAAACAATATCAGATAGACTAAAAAATTCAAATAAATTAATAATTTGTCAATTAATTCAGATTAATGAAAACAAATTATATTATTATATAAGATTCAAAGAATTATCATAATATTCAAATGTCATAATAGTTTTAAAATTTGATTTAGCATTAAAAGTCTATACAGCTTCCTAGCCACATAAAAGAAAAATTGCTGAAAACGTTTTTCTCAAACTTTGACGTATTTTGCAGTCGGCAGCAAAATGGCAAGCATTCTGAAGTGTAACTTATGAGACTTTTAAAACCCAATGATAAATAGCTCAGAAATCGGAAGCATGTGGTAAGAAGTCTGCTTCAGAAACAGCGGTTTTTAAAAGTTTCCTTAAAAGGCATTTACCTTTCTCTGAAACTTAGCAGATTGATTTGATGCCTCTTTTTCAGCTGTTTGAGCGATAGTTATATTTTCCTTTGGGTGCCGTACCCTTTTATTATCAAACCTGTATCTTCACCGAATTTCACCTTTTAGCAATATCAGTCAGGAAAACTTTATTGCTTTCGGAATCTTTACTTTAAATGTCTAAATGTTTGTTTTATGAATGTGTAACTGTTGTGGTTTGCAATGTTACACAACTCAGTGCATATGCAGTCATTTTTTTTTCCATTGAAGTAGTTCTAATATCAAAATCGTAAAAACAACCTTGTATTTAGCGTAAGTATATTGAAACACTCAATCGATTTCGAGGGCAGCTAAAGGTCCCTCCTCATCAGAAGAAAGAAATACATAGTAAGAAGAAAAATAAAGGGGAAGGAGTCTCAGAAACAGGTGCTCCTTATCAGCACTGCACGTGGTTATAACCGGATTTTTAATCAGAGTTACACTGGCCGCCTACTTTTACTGAGCCAGGCTCAGTAAAAGTAGTACAAACATGTAAACAAATCAAACATGTAACACAAAGGACAAGAAAAATTAGCGAAGTTAAAAATAGGGAGCGAGGGGCAACTGAACCTTCACGCTCAAAATCTGAACTTCGAATAATGGAAAGCAACCACTGAACGGATTTTTATACCCTCTGGCAGTACCAAAAGCGAGGAGGTAACGCCATCTATCGGCAAAAATAACTGAATTAAGATAGCAGAATTTTAAAGGTATTAGGAAGGACAGGATTGGACTTCAAATCATTAACTAAACATGCTAAATCTTTGTGAACATGAAAAGCCTCAAGAAAATCCAATTCACCTATGGAAGAAGCCTTTTGGATAATTTTTGCAGACCCAAAGTCAAAATTATGGTTAAATGTCCAACTATGATACGCAGAAGACTTGTTAATTTCGCCTTTTCTGACATAAGATTCATGTTCCTTGATACGAAACTTCAACGCTCTTTTTGTTTGGCCAATATATCTTAAACCACACTGACACGATATACTATAAATTCCCCAAGAATTCAAGACAGAAACGCAATCATTTAGAATCGAAGGGTGAATTTTATTAATAGGAGAGAAACCGACTTGAAAATTGAATTTCTGAAGAATCCGTGCAATTTTATAGCTAACAGAAGGATAAACTGGAAGCTCGACAAGGTCATTAATATTATTGGGGAATTTATAGTATATCGTGTGAGTGTGGTTTCAGATATATTGGCCAAACAAAAAGAGCGTTGAAGTTTCGTATCAAGGAACATGAATCTTATGTCAGAAAAGGCGAAATTAACAAGTCTTCAATTGCGTATCATAGTTGGACATTTAACCATAATTTTGACTTTGGGTCTGCAAAAATTATCCAAAAGGCTTCTTCTATAGGTGAATTGGATTTTCTTGAGGCTTTTCATGTTCACAAAGATTTAGCCTGTTTAGTTAATGATTTGAAGTCCAATCCAGTCCTTCCTAATGCCTTTAAAATTCTACTATCTTAATTCAGTTATTTTTGCCGATAGATGGCGTTACCTCCTCGCGTTTGGTACTGCCAGAGGGTATAAAAATCCGTTCAGTGGTTGCTTTCCATTATTCGAAGTTCAGATTTTGAGCGTAAAGTTTCAGTTGCCCCTAGCTCCCTATTTTTAACTTCGCTAATTTTTCTTGTCCTTTGTGTTACATGTTTGATCAGATAGCCTGGCTCAGTAAAAGTAGGCGGCCAGTGTAACTCTGATTTAAAAATCCGGTTATAACCACGTGCAGTGCTGATAAGGACCACCTGTTTCTGAGTCTCCTTCCCCTTTATTTTTCTTCTTACTATGTATTTCTTTCTTCTGATGAGGAGGGACCTTTAGCTGCCCTCGAAATCGATTGAGTGTTTCAATATACTTACGCTAAATACAAGGTTGTTTTTACGATTCTGATTGTCACATTAGCGTGTTTCTCTTCTAGTCTAGTTCTAATATAATCAAAGTAAACGCATTTTAGAGTACTAGCATTTTGTCGACAAAATACGGTGATTCAGGAAATATTACTAAGTTACGACTTTTTGAATGTACCCTAAACATCGAAATGAAGCTAATAAGGAACAAATATATAATGCGCCAATGATACACGAATATATAATACGCCAAGTAAAGATAAGTGTAAGAAAAATGTGAAATAGGATAGATTTTATTTTAGGAAAAGTGTTTCTTGCTTGCTCTCTTCAACTACAGTTAAATGAAAAATAAGTACTACAAACAGAAAAAGATACGTTTTCAAGAACTTACAAGCAATTAAAGTATGACATACTCTATAACGAAGGTTTTTCTCTCTCTAGATGGCTTCAAAATGCTTTAATTTTTTTTTTTTTCTCCTTTTCATTGCATGAAGTGTTTTCCCCCCTCTAGATGACATCTTCACTCTAGAATCAGCGGTTCTCAACCTTTCGACTAACTCATACCACCTAACCAAAAATTGAAAAACTATAGTACCACCACTGCATTTTTACAATAATTATTTTTCAGTTCCCAAATAGAAATATTAAAAAAAAGAAGTATTTTGCCATTTGCACAACTTATTGGTTATTTGTATTAAATATGCACACATAAAAATATCAGATTAAAAATTGGTTACCATTTTAATTATTAGCATTTAAGTTATAATACTTTAATTCTAAAATTTGCTGTGAAATCTGGGCCTCTAAGAGAGATCGATTTGTTTATGTCTGGTCTTCTCTTAGTTTTAACCGTAAATTAGGATCCATTTCTAATTTTATTCTGTATTTATTTTTCAAATGTAATATCGAAGAAAATCCTTGTTCACACAAATAGGTTGTACAAAATGTTGATAAAAATTTAATAGCTTTATTGGAAATGCCTTTAAATTCTTTTTTCTGTTCAGCCAAAAGTCAACAAATGTGTTATTTTTGAAATCTTCAGTTAGAGTTCGATCACAAAAAATATTTATCAATTGTTCTTTTTCTTGACGAGATTTTTTAATTTAATAGCTAAAAATCGCTCCCTAGACCGTTCTATTTCATTATTTCCTTTCACCATTCATCAAGAGTACCTCGCAGTTAGCTATTACCAATTTCTCGAAAATTTTTCAATCGCTCTGTGAGTGGTGCTGAAAGCGCTTCTAATAACTTAAAATCCACAGCAGTCAACACTATTTTCCTCCATTCAGATATAAATTTATCTAATAAGAAAAGAGATTTTGAATTTTCTAGATCTCCCTCTTGTCTAAGAAAGCGAAATTGTTATGAATTTCAATCAGTCTTGCGTTTTCATTTAATTTTTAAGGTAATTTTTTTTTGGATGCTTTGAGTTCGTTACTGGGGAGTTTTACAATTTGAAATCTGCAATTTCTGAATTATTTAGCAATTATTTTCAATAATTTTGCTCTCAGAATTCCTGTTTCTTGAAAACCAATACAAAATTACTTTATCATCTTGGAAGGATATTTATAAAGGGTATGTTTTACAGCAGAAGAGCTATACCTTCTGTCAGTGCTTGTTTATTATAGTGTGTCCACAGAATCCTATTTAAAATTTAGAAGACCTCAAATTTTTGTTTCTTTCGGAGTTCGCACGCTGCGAAGTTCATTCTCAAATTTAAAACGTAAAACCTTTCATATATCTAAGTACCTTATTTAAGTATTTCAACAGTATATGCTAATTCATTTTTTACTGTTTACAGCTATAAGCTTATTTTTGTATTTACGTATTTTTTCAGTATTGCTGGTGTTTCCTACTCTGTAGTAATTTACAAGCAACTAGAGAAAATGGTAAGCAGTTCTGATTAAATTTTAAATCAAAATTAGAATGAGGAAAACTTACAAAATGTTTTTAATTAATAAACTACAATAAAATATATTAAAAAAGGTAATAAAAATGATGATAATATTAGAATATCAAAATCATGCCTGTGCCAGATTTTCACTAAAATTTTACATAATATCCGTGTTTATATTTATAAGCTTTCCTTTAGCATTAGTCAGAAATGATTCAAGACAACAAAAATGCTAATGAAATCAATAATTATCAATAGGTTTAGTGCGTAACATAAATAAATTTATAGTATTGTATTTCCAAAGGGCAAACAAAGCCATCTTTTTCAGCTGCGAATATGACATTATCTTATTACCAGAAATTTGCAATATTTGGTTTCGAAGGTCAAACAGAACCATACTAATATATCAATTTGATAGTCAGTAAGGGGCAGTAATGTAGTTTCGAAGATAAAACAGAACCACTTCTTTCGCTGTAAATGTAGTAATGATAAACTTTCAGTACTATAATTAAGAAAGTCAAAGGGGTTCATCCTCTGCACCTGCAAATTCAAATTAAAAAATTTGTAGTGCTATAGTTTTGAGAGTTAAACAAAACTGTCTGCTACTGCAAACATGAAAATGAGAAACACGCATTACTGTAGTTTCGAAGGTCAAACAAAATCATCTCCTTACTCTACAGATATATTAATAAGAAATTTGCACTGCTATTGTTTTGAAAGTTAAACAGAACCATATTCTTCAGCTGAGAACAGAATCCTGAGGTTCTCAGTACTATATCTTGCAAGTTATCAACAACTATGATAATGAGAAACTTGCAATACTATAGTTTTGGAGGTAAACAGAACTTCATTTTTTGCTGCGGGTATGAAAAGGGAGCAGCGTTGTAACTTTGCTCAAAGCTACAGCACTGTTCACTTTCCCAAAAAGAAAATTCTGTTGATGTATTTAATTATGGCAAAGCACACTAAGGCTATCAGCCTAAGGGGAGGGATGCCTTCGTGGAGGACTTTCTAAGGGAAACTGGCTCGTATACACGTTACACATGGGGAAAACCACGAAAACACCCATACAGCCAGCCCTTTCGCGGCATTGAAACCTCGGACCGAACTACCAGTGTTCAGCGACTTTACCGCTCGGCCGCTGGTGGGCCTAAAGAAAATTCTGAAATTTGCTCACTATGTTTCGAAGATCAAACATAATCTTTTCTTCAGTTGCGAATGCAAAAATAAGCTGAAAATTCTTTGTACTTTTTCCAGTTTGCTTTGTTATCACTCAAAAACATTTTTTTTTTTTTTAATTTCTTCTCATTTTTTTTTATCACCACAAAAAAGAAGGTTCTAACTAGAAAAGATTGTTAAGTGGATGCAAATGAGCAATGCTATTCAGCGTTCCTTTTATTTTCGCACAAACACTTTTAGCAATTTTACTACGGTCATCTGCAGCTGTAGCTAAATGTAGCAAGTTCCTAACATAGAAAGAGAGAGCAGCAAATTTTCGGCAACCTGCCGGCAATTAAACAAAACCGCTTTTGAAGAGAAAGAAAAACATGAAGGTCACTAAGTAGTGGGTGCTCTTAATGTAATTTCATCTAGGAATGATAAATGAAATTAAATTAAGAGTTGGCGTGCTTATAGTTTGAGGAAAATGTAAGTTTGAATTGAAGTTAATGGCAGAAGTAAAATTGAAGTTACGGATTGCATACAAGCAATGCTGTGCAATATATGATTTATTTGTTCCCTTTTTTTGGAACTTATGGTTCATGTAACTCGATGCTATATTTTAAAGCGAGTTTTGTTTAAGCACGTATGTCAAACCATATTGACAAGGAATGCTGTTAAGTTGCTTACTTATAATCAGCCAAAAAAGGTTCTTCAAAACTATAATTCGATAAGTTTACTTAAATTACTTCAAATTCACTGCTAACTATTAATTTCCTTATCATTCAAATATGATGATGCATTTTATTCGGTCAAAAAATTTAGGTAGTAATAGTAGGAAAGTAATACACAAAATCAACATCTTCAGTATGTAATGCTTGCATCTTATTTTACTCATGATGATCACAGCAAATAATATTAATTTAGAAAATTTATTTCAAAAGCAAAATATTTGCAAATAATATTTTTCGATAGCGTTTTGGATTGGATTATTTGGTTACAGCAACGCACACTGAAGCTATGGATTCCTTTCTGGATGATTTTTTGGGAGAAACTAACCTCTATTAATGCTATATGAATAATGCCACGAAACGCTTGTGCCCTAGAAGCAGTTCAAACCCTAGAAGTAGAATTCCATGTGTGTTTACATTGCCAGTGTTTCGTGGCTTTATCCAGTCAGCCCACTTTGAATAATATTTCAGCAAATAATATTGCTTAAAATTGTAAGGTTAAACCCAATGAACATTTTAGTTTAGAACCCCTTGTTCAACCTTCCTATAATTCGGAGACTTATTATCTTCGCACTTATTGTAGTTAGTCTATAATTTTTAAAACACAGACAACGGATAAAACTTAACGTTTGTTAACTCATTATTTTATAGGTTCAAGTAAAATTAAGGAAAAAAAAAACTTATCCACCACTACTTGTTGGGTTTTTTAAAGCAAATGCTTATGCAAACACAGCAAACAAACTGAATGTCCAAACGACTTCGCTCTTATTTGCTACTTTTAGACCTAAACGATAGTGAAACTACATTAAGACCTGGTCAGTTTATAGATTCACGAGCAGATATTTTTATGAACACGGGAAGCTTTAAAAATTTAATTAACCATCTGATTTTTGTCGTGATTTGGGTAAAAGCAAAATTGATGTTTATACACCAGCAAGCTGTGTTTACCTATTCACCAAACCAGACCGACGAGCAGATGGGAACTTTATGAATTAAATTGCTATGCTGATGGATTGTCAAAGCTCTCTCTATATATAACTTACATATTTGATCGTTATTTAAACTTCATCTATTTTTCATTTTGGGGAGGCTGATGTAAGAAACATATGTTAAAGGAATGAATTAACACAAGAAAAGCTTGTTACTTAAAATAAACTTTACAATATAACTATTTATTCACATTTGTAAATATGAACACAAAATAAACTGAATTGATCTTTTTGTCTAAGTGCTTAAGATAAAAGTATGCGATATCATTAGCGTTAAAAACATTATTATTCCATATGCCAAAGATATCATTGTTCTGTGTACTTTTCATCGATTCTAGAAATAACAGCAGATAACATGAAAATTGCTCTATTTTCTACTGTGAAATAAGAGCAATTCAATTTAAGTCTATCAGACTGAACCAGTTTAATTGGATCCCGGGGAACAGACTATAGCCTGGTAGTTTTGGCAAAATTTTCTCTACGTAAAGAAAATATGAGTCAGCTTCACTTCAGGAGAACTTCACGTAGACAATCCATTGAGGGAATATGGCTCTTGAGTGCTTTATCATAATCAGGTAACAAACTAGCCTAATTAAAGTGTTTAAAAATTAACTTGAATATCATAAATAAGCAATCAGTACCGTGAAAGGTAATTGTTATCGTTAAAATTAAATTATGTTCTTATTGCGTGTAACAGTAAGCGCCATTGTTACATATCGGCCATCCTTAAATTAAATTATGTTCTTATCGCGTGTAAGAGTACTCTAGTTAAAGTAAATGTTATTAACAAAAGGCTTTTAAAGCGGGTTATTGTATTTTGTTCTTTGTTTATTGAAATAATTGACACTTTTAACTAGAATCAAAATGACCTAATGATGACGGTATATTTTCTGGCTAGAATCATCATGTTGGTGCATATATCTTTCTATACTAAATTATATTGTTCTACAACGAATATTGTCCTACAACGAGAAAGATCTACATTGAATTGCGTAGTTCATTTGCAACTTCAGTGTGTCTTTTACTAAAATTTCCATTTCTCTTTTCTTTACAAGCTGGCGGATGAACTGACAAGAAAACTTCAAGCGGATGCTTGTTATTCGGTCAGTCAAACAACTTCAGATTAATTATTTGAAAATGCGTAGATGATTAATAGCTGTTAGATGTCCTCCTATTGACAAGAATAATTTATTGACCAGATTGAAAATCTTTATGAGTCAAATGCTTTATCTTAATCTACTTGGTATTATTTTAGTAGGGAATATGAAAAAGCAATAAGATTCATGGTTCGAATTTGAGATAGGGAGCAGTTGATTCTTAAATCTCTCCTCAGTCTTGATTTTTATGCATAATCGTCTGGTCAATAAATTATGCAATTTTATTAATGTTTAAAGTTTTTTCAATGTATGAAAGCCGACGTAATCCAAAAGTAAATATTTGTAAAAGTTCCGGAGCAGATTTATTAATAGATTTAATGAATGGGAAATTTTCTGTTGATGGTAAAATGTGCATTAAGTAATAAAGGAACGTGATAAATATTATTTTTTTTATTTAATATAGTGGGATTACTGTTATTACTAGAAATATAATAATTTTGATATATTTTATTTGAAATGAAGGTGGGAGACATGATTGGCTACCGGATCCAAGATGCATGCACAAATGTGGACATAGAACCTGACGAAAACCCGGAGTCAGAATACGTAGCCACAGCTACAATTATGTTTGAATTGTACATGACATTGCAGGAATTCATCAAATTCAGAGATAACTTGCCTCTTGAGTGAGTATTCTCTTGTAGAAATGCGACCAAAAATTAATTAATTATAACATAGGTACTTTTTCGCTTCGCCCACGCAAATCTCGCCAAGTAGACTTCATTGGCGAAAACACATAGTATACGCATAAAAAGTGTTGACAAATGATAGTTTATTTATTTAATATTTTATTTTGAAGGTATAAACATTTAATGTCGTTTAAAATTTTGTAAAAAAGCCGAAAAATAAAAACAATAAATTTGTAAAAAGACATTAATTTAAGAATTTACTATGCTTTCATCGCACAATATCCTGATTCGCCGGTTCATATCACGTGACCCCAAGTCATCTCATCTCACGTAAACTCACGAAAACACACTGCCGCATGGAAAGAAAAAAATATTTTATTTCGGACAATGGCAGGATATTCCTTTGAGATACCTGAAATTATCCATTAAATTTGAAATAGAAATATTTTGCATTTTTGCGAAAGCAGCACATTTCTTTTATATAGCTAAGTTTCCTGATTAAATTTCAAACATAAATATGCAACACAAACCGTTTACATTGCTGAGTTTTAAAGCAAAAGTTCCTTAAAATTCCAACTTCGAGGTGCACATCTTCGGATGAAGGGCTACGTGTGTTCAAAATTTGGAGGCTCTAGGAGCTGCCGTTTTTCCACAATGCATGGAATATACAAACATACGTACTTACAGACTGCAGCGAGCAACTCTGCAGTTCTGTAAACGTAATTTTCCCTTAAAGTTTTTTTTTTACGCTTTGGCAACACTGGGTGTTTAGTTTAAGTTTAGAATATTAAAAAAAGTCTTAGCTGCGCAATGTTTTCATTATATGGAGTTGGATTTCTGCTTTATTTTGATTCCTTTTTCACGTTTTTTACTGGAGAATCGTCTAACTAAGGGATGGGTAAACTACGGCCTGCGGGCCAACCCCACCGGATGGCTCTATCCGGCCCGAGGATGGAATTTTAATTTGCCGGTCCGAGGCAAGTTAAAGAAATATATAATTATAAATTATATGTTCATCTCCTTTTTTACTTCGTTTAAATGTAATTTTTTTCTTTCTTTTTTTTTTCAAAGAACTGATGATCTTTTTACTTTCTCTCTTTTTGTTCTACAAAACATAAATCGACGGAAATAGCAATCACAGACAGCTTTCAATCTTTAAAGTGTTAAAGAGCGGAAGTTTCTTTGCTAGTTATAGCTGTAGATTGGCGTCAACAAGCCTTTTCTCTTTCTTGGGGAGCAGACATATTGTTAATCCAATATATGTGAATTAGAGCTCACATGTGGCAGACTGCGCATTTTAAGTTCCACCAGTGGCTTCTTCTTTTGGCGCGAGTTCTAATATTATTGATTGCGTATGGAAAGATTGCGGACATTTAGCATCATTGTGAATAGTGGTGAAATTATTAAAATTATAGCGTAGCTAGTGCTTGTTTGGGTTATTCGTAAAGTATTTCAACCCCGAAATGGCTACTAAAAAACGTACAGTTGATTCAGAGTGCCGTGCTTTTAATGATGATTGGACCTGAAAATATTATTTTACAATTGTACAAGATAAACTAATGTGTTTCATCTGCAGTAAAGCTGTAACAGACTTTAAAGACTATAACATTTCTCGTCATTTCACATCTTAGCATAAGAATTCCAATTACGAAGCAATGTCCAAATATAAAAGAAAAATGCAGAAAGTCTTTGTAAAAAATTATCAGGCCGAAAAATTTTTTCAAGAAGGTAAACAGTATCCAAGAAGCAGCTACACATGCAAGTTACACTGTAGCATACAATATTGCTAAAAATAATAAAGCTGTCAGTGATGGGGCTTTGTGATGTTTTATATCCATCCAAGAAAAATAATTTTGAGACTGTAAGCTTATCTCGAGAAAAGGTGACATCGATAAAAATTGACATTAAATATTGGCCAGTTTAAATTTTGCTCAATAGCTATGGATGAAAGCACGGATATAAATGATACTGCTCAATTAGTATTATTTACAAGAGGTATTGATGAGAACTTTGACATTATCGAGGAACTGGCCTGCATGCAGTCTTTAAAGAGAACTACAACGAGATGTGATATTTTTCGTGAAAGACCTGATGAGGAAAAAAATGGGTGTAAGACCTGTTTTACGATCATAATGTGAGTCATCGTCAGCGCATGGTAATGATTAGGGGATTTTAGTAAAAGATCCTGCCTTTTTTCGCAGCTTTTCTTGCCATGATTACTGGGCTTAAAATAACCATTCTAAAGTTACACACTGTAAAGTTAGATTGTTCTCCATGGACTTCCCCTTATCCTGAGCAAAATGACTCTGCTAATATTCACTAATACTGAATGGAACTAACCCTAAGTTGATTTTTCTCGTGCAGAATTCTTGCGGAAATTCTGAGTAATTGAAATTTTCAATAATTTTACGAAAGGTGAAATCACTAGCTAAGTTATAACTATTGTAGTGTGAAATAAACTAAATGTTCGATCGAATGGTTAAGCATACAGAGTGTAGATTTAACTTATCAGTGAGATATCGCCTTCAGCAACTACTTAACTGTCAGGAAAAGACTAAGTCAATTTAATCACGTGAAGATTTAATTTAACTATTCCTAGTAAAATACAATAAAAATGATAACTCTGTAGAGACATTAATATTTTTTGGAAGCAGGCAAGATGAAATAGGAACAATCGAACCATTCTGGAATACCAGCCCAGCGTGCAGAACCACTACACTACGAAGGGACGCTAGGAAGGTGGGAGAAATACCTTATAACTCAAATTAAAACGAATGATTTATCCTATGAATAGTATAACAATGAAGCTAATTGTCCTAGTTGCTAAGATTCAATTATTTACAGACAGAATCTTAAAATGAAAATCAAACACTTGGCTTTTGTATTTAGAATCGTGTCTAATCTATTTACAGACAAGATCTTAAATTCAAAACCAAATACTTGGTTTTGTATTTAGAATCGTGTCGACTTTATCTCTTAACTCGTGAAGCGTATCGACAAAAACATTGAATTCTTGTTCATAAATAAAGTTCATTGCGTATGATAAGAATAAGAATATGAATAAGAAAATTTCATCCCCTTTTATTACATCAACATACATTAACAAGTACTTACTGCTAAAATTTTATCTATGTATTTTATCTTTTACGATTATACTCAATATTACTTTCCTGTTCATTTGAAGTATTTTAAACTTATTTATTTTCTTCTAATGAACTCTAAAACTAAGCTAGCTTTTATTTTACTAGAAGTGAAACTCTCTTTGTGTACTTATTTTAGAAATAAAATTCCCTTTATTTTAGAAATTTAACTTTCGTTTCATTTATAAAATATTTATGCTTCTTTTTTCATTATTTTCTAGTCAGTTTCATTTCTGTTACTATTATTGAACACAGCATATTTCTCTTTGCACATTAGTGCTTTTGTAAAAAAAAACGGAGAAGCAGGAGAAAGGGTATTTCTTACAGTTTTAGCATACTTAATACTGAATATACTTGGGCAAGCAGAATTAAGTATATATTAAAAAAAATAAAGCTCCATTTTAGATGAGAAAAATAATATAGAGTCTTTTATGCTTTTTAGTATTACAATGCATATTGCGTAATTTTTTCCCATTGGAAAGGGTCGTGCTTTTTAACAGCAAAAAAGAAATAAGTAAAAAAAAGTAGTTGTTAATATTAAAAATGCTCATAAAACATTTATTTACATAATTCACATCTCAACTGAACTAACTGATGACTTAAAAACATTTTGCCTGCTCAAGAACTACATCGCAATTAATTTATTAGTCAAGAAGGGCTTTGTCCCTCAAGGACTATTATTTTCGTTTTGCGATTTTGCGCGGAATCACTATAAACGGCGTATTGCTTTTGAAATTGTTGCCATCAAATTTTAGAGTTCTGCATTATATTTGAAGAAATTAAATTACGAAGAATCTGCATAAATGTATGTATGTTTCTCGCATTGTGATAAAACGAAGGTACCTAGAGTCATCTAATTTTGAATGACGCATTCCTACTGCGAATATGGGCATCTGAAAGCCCAAATTTGAAATTTGGAATTTGTTTTATTATTGATTTCATATTTTATAAAACTTTAACGATTTTTTTATTAACAAACTCAACGATTTAAAAACGTGGAATGACAACACACTAAAGCAGGCAAGAGGGGGGAACCTTTTTATCTCTATCGCACGGAACTGTGTATCAGAAATTCTAAAGATATGCTCATTTTAAAATTATTTTGCGACATTGCTGTTGAACTGAATTTTATGGTTTAAGTGCAAAAAAAAATGATATTTAATAAATAAAATAAATAAATAATATAAAATTAATAATAAACAAAACTTTAAAAAACGCCCCTTTGGACGTAATTTAAAATCTGAAACCTTTCAGATTTTTTTTTTTTATTTATTTTTTTAGTTCAAAGGGGTTTTGTCCCTGAAGGAGTATTGTTTTCGTTTTGCAATTTTGCGTTTGGTGCACTATAAATGTCCGTTTCACGTTTCAAACTATTGCCTCCAAATGTTAAAGTCCTGTATTACATTGGAAGAAGTTAAGTAATGAAAAATCTGCATAAATGTATGTATATTTTTCGCATTGTGATAAAAAAAAAACGGTATATAGAACCATCGAATTTTGAATGACATAATCCTACCACGCTTATGGGCATGGGGAAGCCCTTCATGTTTTGCAAAACTTTAACCAATTTTTGATTAATAAACTCAAGTATTTTCAAATGAGCAATGGCAATGTTGCACAGCAAAAACATTTTTATCTCCAGCGCGTGAGACTCTGTATCGGAAATTCTAAAGGGATAGGCTCAATTTAAAACAATTTTATGATATTGCTCTTGAACTGAATTTTATGGTTTAAGTGCCAAGAACGTGATATTTAATAAATAAAGGTAACAGAGAAAATGCTAAAAAAGACGCCCCTTTGGGCGTAATTTAAAATCTGAAACCTTTCAGATTTTTATCTTTTTTTATTATTATTGTTTTTATTCTTTCTTCAGAGAGAAGAAGAACTTGACTCTGATAAACTATCACCTGTGGTTCAAAGACACTGTTCATCATTGGTTCATTGTTGCCAAAGCAAAATGCCAAATTCGGTTGAAAAAGGCCGTTGAATTGGATAAGGTTTGTTCATATTTTAATAATACATTAACAATGTATTTGATGTTTTTTAATTAAATCAGTTTAAGATGAAATTTGTTCATCTGAAACCTTTAAGTTTGATGACAACTGTGATATGATTATTTTTATAAAGTGAATTAATGTTTACATTGCTAATTTAAGACAAATGAGAGAATTTCTCTTAAATTACTAATGTAAACATGAATTCAAGTACATCAGCGTTTAGGTTTCTATACTCGAAAGAAATATTACCAAATATTATTCTTCAAGGCGCAATTAATTTTTGATAACTTAAGGATAGAAGAAGTAAGGACATTGTGCATTTTTTAAGTCGTAATATTTGACGTATTATCATATGGTGAGAACTGAACAATTATTTTCTACCTTATTCTGTTTTATCCTTAAAATCATTACAATATTTCTCGAGTTTTAAAGCGTTTTTCAGTATTATTTTGCGAATAATCGTAATAGCAAGTAAATAAATATCATAAAACCTTTTATTTTGTATTGTAGTGTGAAATAAACTAAATGTTCGATCGAATGGTTAAGCATACAGAGTGTAGATTTAACTTATCAGTGAGATATCGCCTTCAGCAACTACTTAACTGTCAGGAAAAGACTAAGTCAATTTAATCACGTGAAGATTTAATTTAACTATTCTAGTAAAATCAATAAAAATGATAACTCTGTAGAGACATTAATATTTTTTGGAAGCAGGCAAGATGAAACATAGGAACAATCGAACCATTCTGGAATACCAGCCCACGTGCAGAACCACTACACTACGAAGGGACGCTAGGAAGGTGGGAGAAATACCTTATAACTCAAATAAAACGAATGATTATCCTATGAATAGTATAACAATGAAGCTAATTGTCCTAGTTGCTAAGATTCAATTATTTACAGACAGAATCTTAAAATGAAAATCAAACACTTGGCTTTTGTATTTAGAATCGTGTCTAATCTATTTACAGACAAGATCTTAAATTCAAAACCAAATACTTGGTTTTGTATTTAGAATCGTGTCGACTTTATCTCTTAACTCGTGAAGCGTATCGACAAAAACATTGAATTCTTGTTCATAAATAAAGTTCATTGCGTATGATAAGAATAAGAATATGAATAAGAAAATTTCATCCCCTTTTATTACATCAACATACATTAACAAGTACTTACTGCTAAAATTTTATCTATGTATTTTATCTTTTACGATTATACTCAATATTACTTTCCTGTTCATTTGAAGTAATTTTAAACTTATTTATTTTCTTCTAATGAACTCTAAAACTAAGCTAGCTTTTATTTTACTAGAAGTGAAACTCTCTTTGTGTACTTATTTTAGAAATAAAATTCCCTTTATTTAGAAATTTAACTTCGTTTCATTATAAATATTTATGCTTCTTTTTTCATTATTTTCTAGTCAGTTTCATTTCTGTTACTATTATTGAACACAGCATATTTCTCTTTGCACATTAGTGCTTTTGTAAAAAAAAACGGAGAAGCAGGAGGAAGGGTATTTCTTACAGTTTTAGCATACTTAATACTGAATATACTTGGGCAAGCAGAATTAAGTATATATTAAAAAAAATAAAGCTCCATTTTAGATGAGAAAAATAATATAGAGTCTTTTATGCTTTTTAGTATTACAAATGCATATTGCGTAATTTTTTCCCATTGGAAAAGGGTCGTGCTTTTTAACAGCAAAAAAGAAATAAGTAAAAAAAAGTAGTTGTTAATATTAAAAATGCTCATAAAACATTTATTACATAATTCACATCAACTGAACTAACTGATGCACTTAAAAACATTTTGCCTGCTCAAGAACTACATCGCAATTAATTTATTAGTCAAGAAGGGCTTTGTCCCTCAAGGACTATTATTTTCGTTTTGCGATTTTGCGCGGAATCACTATAAACGGCGTATTGCTTTTGAAATTGTTGCCATCAAATTTTAGAGTTCTGCATTATATTTGAAGAAATTAAATTACGAAGAATCTGCATAAATGTATGTATGTTTCTCGCATTGTGATAAAACGAAGGTACCTAGAGTCATCTAATTTTGAATGACGCATTCCTACTGCGAAATATGGGCATCTGAAAGCCCAAATTTGAAATTTGGGAATTTGTTTTATTATTGATTTCATATTTTATAAAACTTTTCTTTATGTCTTTCCTGAAGACTAGCTTTCCTTAGGTACAAAGATCCCACCTGAGATTTGTTATGGTCTTATTAAGCCTATCCATCTTGCCAATTAATTACACTAGAAAATATTCGCAAAATAGGTTATTTAGAATAATAATCTTAAAAATTATATTATGGTTTTTTAGACTAGTGATTTATTTTCTTCGTTGTTTTTATATTAATTTAGAAATTCCTTAAAATTATGTTTTTAGAGATATGAATGATTTATATTTCTCACATTGATATTATACAGGATTTTGAAAGAATTATTTATCTGGTTTATATTTTCATGGATAGTTATTTAGATAATTTTTTGTGATTAGTATTTATTGTATAATCAAAGTTCTTTTATAAAACTAGTGATCATGTTTTTATTTGTAGACTGCTAAATCTGCCTTTTCGATCTTAAAAATATGCTTTTCATTTATTGGATTTATTCAGGATTATTGTTTTAATATTTTCCACAGATATTTTCTGAGTAATTAAAAAACTTTAGAAAATTTTAAAATTCATTTAAGATTTCTCAGTTTCTGAGCATAGAAGCATGATTGCACTAAATAGGATTTTTATCTGTGCAAGGTTTCGTTAAAATACATTTCCATACACATAAAAATATAAGAGTATTTTTTCGTTTAACTAATAATTCTAAAAATATGGAAATATAAATATTACGTGTCTTAGTATTATATTTTTATGACTATTACTGTAGTACATAGTACTGATTTGTTTCCTGTTTCCATTACGGTCCCTAATCCTACCGAAGAAGGTGAGCTGACTAACCTATTCTAAAGCTAGTATGCTGTAGCTAGAATTTCGTTATATATATGCTGCCTTTATCTTGCCTTCTTTTTTTTTAGAATTTAGCAATTGCTAGAGCTAGAAATGTGTGATGGCTTTTATTAGCATGATTAGTCAGTGGTTATCTTGATTAATAATAAAAACTTCTTACTTTAAGTAGATTTTAGTGATCGTATTTGAGGTGATTTTAACAACAATGTACAGTCAACTTCCGGTTTGCCAGGGTAAAGTGGCTTGCATCACAAGGCTGATACGGATAATTAACCGATTACTAATATAACTCGCATTAATTATCCGATTACCAAAGTAAAGAAAGGTATGCATGCTTAACACATAATCATGATTTATCCAGCAGTACTTGAAAGATGCAGAAAAGAGAAATTAAGCCATAATATATTTAACAGAAAAATATTATTAATGAGTTTCCTGTATTTTCCAGCAGATTGATCAGGAGAACGAATTCACTGCATTTCGTAAATTTAATCAGAATCAGCCGGTTGAGCGGCCTGCCTCCTAAAATAGCTAACACTATAAAAAGGTATATACAATGATGGGTAGTATTCAATAATAATTTAAATGAGTCTGCATTTATTACTATTATATCGTTTAGCAAGTTTATTAATCATAGAAAAATTTGGAAAAAATTAAATATTTTAAGCTTTCCTGAGCGACTATAAATTACTGCGGGAAAAATAAAAGTATTTTAATTCGACCAGGGGCAAATAATTTCTTTTAAATCGCGAGATAGTTGATTAAATTCAAAGGAGAAATACACCGCGCTTTGCCTGAGGCATCAGACTTCTTTTATACCGCTGATTTTTCTAACTAAATTTGAAACATAAATGTTTTATGCTTTGCCGAGTGACAACACTAAGCTTTTATGTAGCTAAAGCTCCTTAAACTCCTGCAGCCGCTCAATCGGTATAGCGTCGCTGCCTACCACTAACCTCTCGAGAGGTCTTTCGGCTCTCGTTGTGTGATCTGAGTGTCCCCTTCCCGCACAGACACTGTAAGTTTCGATGCCTTCTTGGCGATACAAGCCCGGTACAGATCATAGTGTCACTAACCACTACACCGGATGGGCTGTAAATTATATCAGTAACAGCTCGGGCTATAAATGGATTTATTTTGACACTAAATACGATACTGAAGGATTAGTTTACATTTTTTGAAAGCATGAAAGATGCGCTAGCGTGGAAAGGCATGATCATTACTAGGAAACGATTGTGCTCAATTTTCAAGATGGAGAATTTGTTGTCTCATTGTACAGAGATAATATGATATATAAGGGGACACCGTTAAACTTTTTGATTACCTAAGTGAAGGCTAAATCTTCACATAAAGATTTACAAGACAAAGGCGTTATCCGAACATGAGCAGTTCGTCATCTGAACATGAGCAGAAGTTAGCTGAGGTTTTCATTCCAATATGTTTAGTTACAAGGCCATTTACAAAAATCAATACATGGTAGCGTGTAACCATCATAGTGTACTAAAAACTTGTGAACCAAATTAATTTACTCTACAAATATTTATAAGATTCGACAATTTGAACACCTCAACTGCTCTCGTTCTTCAATAAGAGTGGCAGAAGTTGCCAGAGAACAGCATTTCTCTTTACAATCACTCACTTTCACTTTTCTATTACGCAGCCGCATTAGCTGCCACAAGACGTTGTTTTATTGAAAAGTGTTATTTCAGCTTGCTTTATATGCCTTAAGATACTTTTCATAATTTTGTAATTTATATCGGCGTGAAATTCATGAAATTCCATTTACAAATTAATATTGTGTAAATAGCGCACATACACATATACATTCAAACATATAGTAAATACTGCATTATTTTACGGAATTATACTTAAATTTACAAATTCGACTTTTAAATTAAGTCACGTAAGTTAATTATAAATTAGAGTTACGTAAGGATTTGTGAAATTAAGTTACGTAAGTTAATTAGAAATTAGAGCTACGAAAGGATTTGTGAAATTAAGTTACGTAAGTTAATTAGAAATTAGAGTTACGTAAGGATTTGCTAAACATATTACTTACGTAAATCTGGGAATAACTGTACTGAGAGCAATACACCATCATCACCTTTCAGCTGTTACTCCATTTCTCACTGTAGCCCTAAGATAAATTCATACTGGCAAGCTCAGCGTTCGTATAGCTATCGATACGACTCTGAATCTGCGCTGGTAATGCTGATTTACGCTAGCAGAATCCTCTTAAATACAGCTCAAAGACATGTAAGTATATAAGTGCATTTCCGCACACACATCCCATTACAAAGTCTGCCTATTTCGGTCACCTTTAACTGGATTATTGAAACATTTTTGTTAGATAATTTTGATTCATTCTATATATTGAGAATTATACACAATAAATCACATATTGTAATGGATAAAATTAACTTTTAAATACTGTGACATCATCTGCTATCACCTGTAGTCCATGCACTCCACACCCACTTTACAAGTTTCCCATAGACAGTTAATAGCCTATGCTAATAGTTTGAAACCCACTTTCTGATGATCGGGAGTTGGCTGTATATCGTGAAATCCGATTGCAATTCAAACGCATGCACATGAAAAAAAGCTTTTCTAAACGGAAATGTGACAGCTCTTAATCATTATAGCTATATCATTTTGGCATCTTTCATGATATCTCATAGCATTTCAAATGCATGCACATGAAAGTAAGCTTTTGTACTTAAAATACATAGCAATCAAATTTTCAAATACCTTTTATGTTAACTCGTGTAGAAATAATGCTTTAGGTTCTGCTCACTTTTTTTCTTTCCTCTCTCCCAGTTTAGTGTTTAAAATGATTGTTAAATATTTGTTCTTATTTCTCTAATGCCATGTAAGATAACAACTGACATGAATTTTAGGTTACATTTTTGGACAACTATGTTAAGCATAGTACATCAGCAGTTGACACCGCGACTTGCTTTGTTCAGGTAAGGTCATATTACTATTACTTTTGTAGAAAGTTTTTACCTTTTAATTACTTATTATTATATTCATTATTATTTTAACGTTGGAGAAATTCTGCCGTGTTTTTAAATTTCGATTTTAAATGCGCCTTTAGTACTTAACAAATTTAGTTACATTTTCTCTCAGAAGATGGCACCACCAGCAACTGATTCTAAAATCGATTCTCGTACGAAATTGATTAACCTGTACGCCCGACAATATCAGGGATCAGCGAGAGTTAGAAATTCGAATTCATTTAATCAGTGTATATGTATGTTACCAGATACGCAGCTATAAAATTTTGTTGAAAAATATCGCAAAATTCTCGTACGAATAATGTGAAAATGTCCCTGAGAATTAAAGGCTGTAGGAAATAATAAAGACGCAGTATATTATCACTATTTACTGAATGAGAAATTATTGATTTATTTACTAAAATGATAGCATAGCACACAGTATAATTTCAAATTATATGTATTTATAGGCTTTTGTTCGATCTAAAAATATTTTTACAATATATTACTATACTGTATTACTGCAGTAATTTTATCTCTGAAAAGAAAAGTAAAATTCGAGAGCTGTTGTGGAGAGTGAAAAGTCTCGAAACTTTCATGACATGAGAGTTACATTAACGATGTATACATAAAAAGATGCCGTAACACAAATGATTAGTGCATAACTAAATAAATATTATATTATACCTTTTTAATTGAAATTCGCTTTTATAAATTAATAAAATTCTTAAAATATATTCAAAAACTTTATTTAAAATTAAGACTGTTATTCAGTTGGATGGTCTTTGTAGATATTATAACCAATGTCGAGCTGTAAAAATGTTTACAAAAGTGTCTCCCTTAATTTTTTTTACAAAAATAGAAAATACACGTAATCGAGTATGAATGAAAAAAAAAATATTTGAATAACTTTTTTTTTTTTTTTTTTTTTAATTTCAAACTCTTACGGAAATTACGTAACCAATAAATTTAATTATGCAGCCCAAGTTAATGTCAGAAAATAAATAGCTGAACTTTTTCTTTCTCCTTTCACTTCAGTTGACCTTTTAAAACTTTTTAAAGTCCAATAAAAATTTTTTCAAAAAGGTTTCATATAAAGAAAGTTTAGGGCAAACCAAAAACTTAGCAGTAAAGCCCAGACCCTGATAGTTTTACCGGGGTTCAATTCCGTCAGAAAAGGCTCCTTTCCTTGTTTGTGTGGTTTTCCTCATATATAACGTAAATATGAGGCAGTTTCATTAAAACGTCCTCTATGAAAGAATCCTATAGGAGGCAGATATACGTCTTGTGCTTTGCGTAATCGAAATAAGCCAGTCTAGTGCAATTATAAAATTTAGGATTAAATACTCATATAGGTTTCCCTTTTAAGGTTAGGTTCGGTTATTTAATTACGGCAAAGCCTCGAGGGCTATCTGTCTAAGGTGAGGCATGCCTTCGTGGAGGACTTTATAAGGGAAACTGGGTCGTATACACGTTACACATGGGGAAAACAACGAAAACACCCATGCAGCCAGCCCGTTTGCAGGATTCGAACCTCGGACCGAACGACCAGTGTTCAGCGTGGGCCGTGTCCCTTTTAAGGTTGAATAAATTGTCTGAATATAGCAAAATACATGAAAGGCTAGTGATGCCTTCGTCGAGGAGGGGATTTCTGAGAAAAATGGCTCATATTTAGGTTACGCATGCAGTAAACCAACAATGCAACAAGCTCGTTTTACTTGGGTTCGAGCCTTAACCACTTGGCCACCGATGGCGGTGTTCTCATTTCTCATGAAATCAGAAATATATTCTACGATCCAAGACGATAAAATGTTGTAAAAATACTGTAGATCGAGTTGAAAGCTAGTTCAACTTTAGGGCTGCTGATTAGAGGTCCTTCTTGACTCGTACAATGACCAACTTCGTTCCTGATTATACTGTTGTTATATGAAGTATATTGTTATTGAATATTATTGACTGTACTGTTGGAATTAATTTTAATTGAAGGCTTCCCAACATAATAACTTTATGCAGAGGATGGTTCTTAAGTTAAAAATGTAAGATACAGTGTATTAATTTTAGAAATATATTCTGGATGTATTTTGTTTTTTAAATTATTTTACATACTCTTTATCAAAGCAGTTTTTGTATATCATCAATTTTCTGCAATCAATTTCTCACGATGTGTAGCCCTTGTATGAAGTGAAGAAAATATTACAATCACGAAAAATTCTGGATATCATATTTTCAACAAAAATATCAATTTTGGCCGCTATCGAATGCAATTTAACGATGTTCTAGCGGGACATCTGTATGTAAGGACAGAATAAAGGATTCTTTTTTCCCAAATGAATTATAAAACTGATTTAAAATGGATTCAGAAGAAATTTTTTCGTGGCGTCTGTTCGTGCATACGTACGTGCGTACGTACGAACGTATGTATGTATGTATCTCGCATAACTCAAAACGAGTAGCTTCAGAATTTTGAAATGTTGTATGTAGAACTGGGCCCACCAGCGGCCGAGCGGTAAAGTCGCTTAACACTGGTAGTTCAGTCCGAGGTTCGAATCCCGCGAACGGGCTGGATGCATGGGCGTTTTCGTGGTTTTCCCCATGTGTAACGTGTATACGAGCCAGTTTCTCTTAGAAAGTCCTCCACGAAGGCATCCCTCCTCTTAGGCAGATAGCCCTCGAGGCTTTGCCGTAATTACACATATACACATACGTATATAGAACTGTTACAGTATATACCTATGTACCTCACTTTTTGGTTGCAATCGGCCGCACCAAAAGTGTATATATGAATATATATACACCCAGTCTGTACTCGGCCTCAGCGAGCTTAGTTTTTTTTTTATTCGTATGTATTGGTAAACTGCACATTTTTTGCTTTAAAAATGATTGAATTATGTTATTCTTATCTTCCGGTTGAGGTTTTTAATGCCTTTAATTAATCTGCACGCAATAGTTGTAGAATTATCAACAATTAATAAGCTGTTCGGGTGCGGATAAGCCTAATTTTTGTGTACCATAGCAGCCATATTTGTTTACATTTGAAACATAGCAGAATAGTGAATTTAGTTTCTGCCCCTTCACTGACTTTACTGAGTGGGACCAAAATTTAACTTTCATTTTTGTGCACCAAAAAATCTGCCTTTTTGCCTGCTGGCCGAATTGCTTGTTTTTGCACAGAAACTCTAATTTTAATTATAAATGTTTTTATTGTTTTTACATTTTTTCTATGTTTTTAATTTTTAATGAAGATATTTTGAGGTTTTATGTATTTTTGCCTTGTCGCGAACTAAGAACAGAATTAATTGAATGAGAAATATATTTTTAATGAAATTCGAGGAAATAAGCTTAAATGAAATGCATCAAAAAATGTGTATAATTTAATATTCCGTACAAGAAAGTCATGTGGTGTATACATCCGATTTTTTTTAACTTTATAACCAAATGGCTTTCAAGCGCGTGGTCACTGCAAGACAAGAGTTCAGAAAAGAATAAATAGTACCAGTAAAAAAAAAAAAAAAATTAAAAGGAAAAGTATTTTTAAAGCAACAGTTACTGACCAAATTTATAAGGATAAACTATATTTTAACGATGTTGATTTAAAGAGGAATTGACGAATAAGTGTTAAAAATGGGACAGTGGCTGTTTTATCGGCTGGATTTTGGCTGTTTTTACACGACTGATAATCCTTTATATTTATAATGTAAATAATAAAATATGAATGCATTTTAGCAACAAAGTTTTCTATTGTGTAATGTTAGTTTTAAATGAGAAGAATAAAATATTTAAGAAAGTAACAACGTTAAGATGCATGTTGCGTTCATTGTAATTTGAATTATATCTTATTAAAAGTGTTAGAAAATTCGCAATCGTGATAAATTAACATTACTTACCTTAACTGTACACTCTGCACTCCTCTCCCCCCCAAAAAAAAATTCAAAAGAAAAGTGGAAAGGGGGAACCGTTCTATATTTCCCGTTCTACTAAGTCAATCGACAAAATTTAATTTGTATTTTTCATGTCTCGAAAGGGCGACATCGGATATATACAACAGAGTCCCGCAAACTCGACATAAAGTGGACTGAGTGACTGGCGAGTTTCCGAAAAGTCGAGTTTTACGGAATAAGGGGTGGGTTTTTCAGAACTCTTAATATTTAACTGTTAATTGCTCTAATCATTTGTAGCACAATATTGGACACAGAATCGTACAGCATACAATTAAATTAATGTTGATGTTTTATGTCAATTTTTAGTACTATAGGAGTCATAAAAAGAACAAATATTCTAAGCTGAGTAAAAAAACTTACATACAAAACTGTAGAAAACTTATTAGTCGTTCTTGATAGGAAAGTATCGTGTGATGGTAGATTGTCTCTCATACTCATTCTGTCGTCGTGCAGCTTCATCCTGTAGGCGACGGAGGAAAACAATATCCATACCAGATGCACCTTGCTTCTCCATGTAACAGAGCATTCCTTCAGCGGCCTTCAACCTTTATACTGCTGGTCATAAGTTTACCTTTTCCGTTGTCTTCAATCTCTTCGTTTTCTGATGCATCTTCATTTTTATCCACATTATCTTTCACCAGTGCAACTATTTCTGCGTATCGTAAAATTTAAAAGTTTTCATCTTGTCCCATCCATTCTTCAACATCAGCATCAGTAATTTCTTTCGCAACCCAGAATTTAAGTAAGTCAACTATTTACAATTTCTGTGTCTTCTCTGCTACTGTGAAATTGTTTTCTGAATGGTTCAGAAACTTCAGGAACGAAAGATGCTTTTATCTGCTCTATTTCACTCCACGAATGAGCTATCCATCCAACAACATCCAACATATCTATTTTCTTCAGTTTCTCCATTATATCACTCCCCTCCTCCCAAAAAATAAGAGATGAAAGAAGTTTACGTCTGTATCTTTTCTTCATAGCCCTAGTACATCGTCTGACACACTGAAGCTACGGTAAGAGGGAGAAACATGA